CATCCACTAGCACAGAATTGGCGACCTCCCTTCTCGGCGAACCAGCAGATCGGCAGTAGCAGTAGGAAACCAACAAAACCATCGGCCTCTTCCGTCTCTCTCTCTCAGCTGAACCTTCGTCCTTGCTCCTCCCTCCCTCTCTCGTCGACAACGACGACAATTGCGGTCTGGCGGTGAACTCGGCTGGTGGTGACCACAACGGCGGACTGAGATCGAATTCTAGAAGGGCGGATGACTCACAAGTTTTTTTTTTCTTATTTTAAAGCTCCACGTAAGATAGAAAAAAAAAAAAAAAATGCCACGTGGTCAACATGTCAGCATTTACCGGTTAGAGTGGTAAAACTTGGACTCAATTGAATTATTTAGCCGGTTTAGGATACTTAAACGAAGCTTTTTCACTTAGGGCATCATCAATAATGTGAAGATTTTGAGGAGATTTTACAGGTGTGATTAGGAAAGAGAAATGGAAGGGGAGAAAAAAAAAACAAAACTAAAATCTGAAAACAAAAAAAAAAAAAATAAAAAAAAATAAAAGAATTACGCGCCCAGGCGGGCGCGTGCACTGCACGTGCGGGCGCGAGAGTTGCGCCTCACATGCGTGAGGCGCAACTCTCCTTCTTCATTGGTGGGACCCATGACTGCAAAATCTCCATTTTTGCAGGACAAACTCCTCCTCCCCTCCCCTCTCTCTCTCTCTCTCTCTCTTCTGTTTCTTTCCTCCATCTTACCCAAAATTTCTTAAAATTTGTGCAAATCTCCTTATTGGGATTGCTCAAGTGGGTTAATTGCACTGCCCAATCAACTTTGGTCGATTTATAGGCATATTATACTTCCCCACCACTATAGTCTATAGAGTTTTCCAACCTTTTGAACTCATTTATATAACACTTGCATTGTATTAAAAACTCTATGGGTGTGTTTGGTTGATAAGATTAGCTTTAAGGAATGAGTATCAAAGTGATTGGTATTGTTTGTTTGATAGGTTTATAGAATACTATCTATGAATTTCAAATACCCCCTTAATTGAAAAACCCATACCCAAATAAAGTAAGGGTATCATTCCCTTATTTCTTCTCATCCCCTTTTAATTAGTGCTTATAGTTTTTTGTTTTTTTTTTTTTGTTTTTTTTTTTGTTTTTTTTTTTTGTTTTTGTTTTTTTTTTTTTTTGGTTCATATTGGTGTTTTGAATGTCTTTATATTAGAATCAATTGTCTTGATTTTGTGTTCTTGTATTTTTAAAATCTTTATTCCCATTATTGGATCATACATAACCAAACAACATTATTGATAATCATTCACATTCCACCATACTACCAAACATGCAAAATACTTTCACTAAAACTCATTACCTTATCAAGTATTTGATACTCATTCCGATTTCGATTCCGATTCTGATTCCCATGTGCGAACCAAACACACCCTAATATTATAAAATATTTATTGCCTTATTATATCATATCTCTCTATTGTATTCGTAACTATGTGTCTTCAAGGCATCTCCAAGAAGGCACCTAAATACTATTTTGGTGTAGAAATTTGAGGCAATCTTCTTCCAAAGAAGACACCAAACTGTACACCAAGATGTTCCTAGATGAATAGTGTTGTACTGTATATGCATAAATATTAATTGATTAATGATTAAAAATAAGATCACACTTGTGCGAGACCTGGAACGGGGCGGGTTGAGTTGGATCAATATGAAAATGTAATACTAATCATGAATAAATTAAAGTGTTTGTTACTTATAATGAAAAATGTAATACTTTTACAATTTGATTTAAAATTATTCTTTTTTTTTTTTGAAAGTTACTGGCTCTATTACATTGTAGTATCTGTTCATATACTTTCTCAACCTACTGAAACACAAAGAACCAATAACGCCTCCACTGAGGCTTGAACTCATAATCTTCCAAATGGAAGTCCAACCCGGATACCATTAGACCACATAGTCCTGGTAATGTAAAAGTATTCAATGTTGCAGAAAGTGCTAGGCAAGTGTATCATCTCCACTTTTTCAACTTAGGGCTAGGAATTTTAGACTATTATAACCCTCCAAACTAGTCAACTACATATCTTAGATGGTTAGTTAAGTAAATGAATGGCTAGAGGAATATAGAAGAAGAGTAGCTGAGCAGGCAAAGAAAAAAAAACCACTCGACCAAGTTGGGCACATACTAGGCTGAGTTAGGCGCCCAACTCGGCCTAGTTAATTTGGTGCCCAACTCAGCGCCTAGGGTGTCTAGTCAGTCGGTTAGTCGATCGGCCGACTAAAAGCCGCCTAGCACTGAAATCACCTCGGCATAGGAGTGCCTAGGCGACCCCTATGTTGATTTTTACAATGAAAGCATTACATTTTTCATCAAAATTAAAGTATTACATTTTTCTTCAGAAGTATTACAATTTCTCATATAAATAATAAACACTTTATTCCTGATTAGTATTACATTATATTTTCAATATAAGTATTATATTTTTGTCGTCTTGTGAGATGATTTCAAACAAGTTTTTGCCTTACAAATATTATACTAATAAATAGTTAAATACCAATTAATGATATAGCATATAGCTAGTCCTATAGTAGTACACTAGCATTAGTTTATTTTTATTATTATTATTATTTTTTTATAGCCAAACCAGTGAAATTTGTATTGCAAAATTTTAACATATAATTAAACTTCATCATTAGACCACAAAGAAAATAAAAGAAATGAAAAACTAGCCTCTGAAAGCAATCCATTTTCAAAAAAAAAAAAAAAAAAAGCCTCTGAAAGCAATCCCCTTGCACCATTGCACTCGCATATTGATTATTGAATATTGAAGAAGACTAATGAGAGAAATTAGGAATTGGCAACGGTACAAATTTTTAAGTTTTAATTTGATATTTTAGATATTGAATTTTGACCCATAATTAAAAAAAAATGGACAGAAAATACATTTCTAATTTTTTAATTAATTCGGAAGTAGCGTGAAATTTTTAGAAAACTTTTAACTAATCAAAAACGACACAAACATTTTAAAACAAGCTTCGGAAAGTTTTGAAGACAAAAAATTTTTGAAATGAGAAAACACTATATCTCCTTGAAATTTCTATGTATAATAAGTAAAAACTTAAGAGATGAAATATGTTAACATTGAAAATGAATAATTGTATTTAAAGTTGATACGTAGTATATACATGCAATAAACTAAGCCTTAACTTAACACATACTAAATTATTATGAGAAAAGAGTTAGAGCTTCTGAAATGTCCAAATTGTTTGTCAAATTTAACATAGACTGAGCATTTGGGAAGATGTAAATCATAGTAACTCAACTGAACATGAGCTACAGAGACTAGACCTTTGCTCACTACGCACAAGGAACCCCCCTCACTTTGAAAGGTAGCTCCCAAATTGTCGTTGGTGAGACTTGATCCCTGGTCATTCTTCCTAAGTTTCACCTCTATAACCTTGAGCTGCCCATACGGGTAGAACTTTATGTCCAAGGAACTCGTGAAGGTATGCAAGGCGGACTCGTGTCCAAAAATACACACTATACATACTAAATGATCATAATTGATTTTTTAAAAATTTATAAATTGTGATGATTCTGTATTGTATTCACAAATTCTCATAATTCTAGATGTTCACAATTCTAATACTAAAAATACACAATTTAGGATCAAGGTCCTACAAGTTGGACCCCGATCCATGGTATAACAACTGAAATGGGACAATTTAGATTAGATATATATATATATATATATATATATATATATATATATATATATATATATATATATATATATATATATATATATATATATATATATATATAGGGAAAATCAACGATTTGGTCCCTCAATTGTTAGCGAAATATCAATGTAGTCCTTTAATCGCGAAATCATCGATTTAGTCCCTGGAAATAACTGTTTTTAGTTGATTTGGCCCCTCCGACCGTTCCCCGTTGAAAATCTGGCGAAGGCTCCGATTTGGCATGGGTAATTTAGTATTTTCACACCATCTTCTTCATCCTCCTTGACTAAGCTTCACCGGAAAACACGCTCGTCGGCCGGAAAATGGAGCCAAGTCCATCTTCTTCATCCCGCCTGACCGGAATTGCTGCAAATTGCTAAATGCTTTCATCCAACCTCAACCATTTCAAACAAACTTCAAGCATAACTTCGGCATCTCGCTCATCTAAAGCCAAATTCTGTTCCTACGGAATTGTTGCAAATTGCTGAATGCTTTCATCCAACCTCAACCATTTCAAACAAACTTCAAGCATAACTTCGGCATCTCGCTCATCTAAAGCCAAATTCTGTTCCTACGGAATTGCTGCAAATTGCTGAATGCTTTCATCCAACCTCAACCATTTCAAACAAACTTCAAGCATAACTTCGGCATCTCGCTCATCTAAAGTCAAATTCTGTTCCTACGGAATTGCTGCAAATTGCTGAATGCTTTCATCCAACCTCAACCATTTCAAACAAACTTCAAGCATAACTTCGGCATCTCGCTCATCTAAAGCCAAATTCTGTTCCTACGGAATTGCTGCAAATTGCTGAATGCTTTCATCCAACCTCAACCATTTCAAACAAACTTCAAGCATAACTTCGGCATCTCGCTCATCTAAAGCCAAATTCTATTCCTACGGAATTGCTGCAAATTGCTGAATGCTTTCATCCAACCTCAACCATTTCAAACAAACTTCAAGCATAACTTCGGCATCTCGCTCATCTAAAGCCAAATTCTGTTCCCATTCAAAATTGGTGGGTTGATTTTCTCCTAACACAATTTATTTTCTCTTATTTGAAAGATGAAAGAATCAGATCCTACAAACCAAACATCAAGCAAGATACTGCAATGGCGATAAAAAATAAAAAATAAAAAATCACAACGTCAACAATTCCTTTGAAAATTGTTGCGATTCTAGACGCAGAACAGTCCTCTCCACCGACAAAGCAACGGAAAGAGAAACGGAGAATTGATTTACTGGCGGTTTCGTGGATCGGAAAGTCGTCAGGTTTGGTTGTTATCGGTGATAACGGCAACGGCGTTAGGGCCAGCGTGAGAAGAGCCGTCCTTGGACTCTTCGTCTTCCTCCTCCTCCATCTCCTTCTCGTCGGTGTCGTAGGTGGTGAGGTTGACACACGAGAAACGCTCCAGCGACGAGAAGAAGGCGGCCGCCACGCTGGAGCCGAACCACCGAGCCAGGCCGTCCAGCACATCCGGCCGACGAGCGTGTTTTCCGGTGAAGCTTAGTCAAGGAGGATGAAGAAGATGGTGTGAAAATACTAAATTACCCATGCCAAATCGGAGCCTTCGCCGGATTTTCAACGGGAAACGGTCGGAGGGGCCAAATCAACTAAAAACAGTTATTTCCAGGGACTAAATCGATGATTTCGCAATTAAAGGACTACATTGATATTTCGCTAACAATTGAGGGACCAAATTGTTGATTTTCCCATATATATATATATAGATTTTGGTTCCTGTGAGGTCATGTCTTCCCGTGCGGTCAGTGTGGCATATATATATATATATATATATATATATATATATATATATATATATATATATATATGTATATAGATAGATTTTGGTTCCTGTGAGGTCATGTCTTCCCGTGCGGTCAGTGCGGCATACACCATTAGGTATGCATAAATGCACCATACAATGTTCGAAAATACACCAGAATGAAATGTCAAAAAATACACCACACACAAAAGAAATACACCACACATAATGGTGTATTTACGTACACTGTGTGGTGCATTTATGCATACCTAATGGTGTATGCCGCACTGACCCCATGGGAAGACCTGACCTCACAAGAACCTGACCCTATATATATATATATATATATATATATATATATATATATATATATATATATATATATATATCATTATTATTTTTTAAAGGATGAAGAGTACGTGAAATTAACTTATTGTGATAACTTCAAAATTTTACAATTTTATAACTAAATTCCATAGTATTTATCATGTTATTAGATACATACTCCAGTATTATACGGTTAGCATGCTTGTGTAAAGTAAAATATTATAGAAACAGACAATTTTTCAAAATAACTCCACAATCATAGCTTAAATATCCATTACATCCCAAGTGAATATAATGCATTACATTCACTTATTATACTAATCAAAGAAGCATTTTTTTTTTTTTTATCATAATGTTAAACATGAGACAATACTAAAACATTAAACATATGAAATACGTGCCCATACTAAAAAGGAGTTAAACTTATTATCTAAAAACTGAAAATATGCAATCCTCCAAGACCTCACAAGAAGCAAAGATACACAGGTCACCCAAAAGCCCACTGCAAATCCTATGGCCATGCTAACATAAAACCAGTCCACTTCAGAATCATCATCATCTCCTTTATTTTCATGCTTGGAAATTTGACCATCATCAACACTACAATTCTTTGGGAGTGGAAGTCCGCAAAGATTGTTGCCAATGTAACACGAAGCATTAAAGCCTTGAAGTTGAGTCCCTGAAGGTATCTTTCCAGATAGGTTGTTATAAGACAAGTCCAAAACACCTAAAGCTGACAAACTTGAGAAACTCGAGGGAATTTCACCTGAAAGCTTATTTTTAGAAAGATCAAGCGATTCCAACAACTTCATGTTTCCCATTTCCTTAGGGATATTTCCAGTCAAGTTGTTTCCTGATAAATTCAATGATCTCAACCCCACAAGATTGGTCAATTCTATTGGAATTTTCCCTGAAAAATCATTACTCGAAAGATCCAAGCTAGCAAACAACTTTAGAATGGTGATATCATAGTTGTATTCTTGTCCTTTTGTTGTCACTAAAGCACTTTCATGATAAATCTCAAAAATAAGTGAAGAAGGCATCATACTCTTGTCGTTGTTGTCAGTATTGTTGATCATTGCGGTGAGATTACGAAAGCACATAGGTATACCACCAAAGAAGTTATTATCAGCAAGGTCAAGCAAGTGAAGAGATGAGAGATGACAAATATTTGGAGGCAATTCACCAAAAAAATGGTTTGATCGGAGCCTGAGGATCGTCAAATATGATAAACTAGTCCCTACCCATGTTGGGATCTTCCCTGTGAATCCATTTTCACCCAAATCAAGCTTCAACAAAAGGGTACACTTCTGCAATGATGGAGGAAAATCGCCAGAAAGCATGTTCATATGTGCATCCAGAGATTTCAACCTATTCAAAAGCCCAGTGGAATTTGGCATGCTTCCAATCAGTTGGTTTTCCTTCACATTTATGACTTCTAAGTGTGGCCAGTGCATCCAACAATCAGGAATTTTTCCAGATAAACCATTTCCTCCCAAAAGGAGTATTTGAAGTTCATATGATACATTTTGTGCATGGCATAAAAAGGAAGAGATATCTCCAGAGAAGAAATTGTTTGATAGGTCTAATTCAACCATGTTGACAGGGATACGAGGTAATGGTCCACTAAACTGGTTAGAGCCCAAGTATGCACGTAATTGTACACTATCTTTAGGTAATCGAAATAAGGTATTTCGAACATCACCTCGCAATTGGTTGTGTGAAACATCAATTATAACCAATATGGAAGAAAAATTCCAAAACCATGTTGGAATCTCATCCTCTATTTGAGCATTAGATATTGCCAGAAGAGAAATGTGATTTTGAGATTGTAGCCAAGCAGGAAATTTAGGACCTAAATTCCAACCAGTTAGTTCAAGGTTTTCAAGTTGGAAGGGAGGTATCCATTTTGGACTGACATTCAAAATTAATCTATTCCCATATGCATCTAAAATCCTTAAATTCGTGAGATTGACAAAGTGACTTTCCGTCACTATTCCTTCCAACATGTTACTATAAAAACTCAATTCTATCAATGAAGACAAATACCCTATACTCTCAGGAAGATGGCCATAGAGCATGTTATGTGAAAAAAGAATATGGGATAACTTTTTGAGTTTCCCAATTTCTTTTGGTATCTCTCCCGTAAGCCTATTGTAAGGCATATAAAGGTAAGACAGAAAAGTCAAGTTGGAAATGGATTTGGAAATGATTCCCTGCAATTTGTTAGAATGCATATCAAGAGATTTTAGATTGGTGCAATGGTAAAGTGAATCTGGTATGTGGGAATTCAAGGAGTTTTGAGAAACATCTAAGTATTCAAGAGAAGTCATGTTCCAACGACCATTAGGTAGAGGACCTTGAAATTGATTATTACATAGGTTCAAATATTTCAAGTTACTAAGACCAAACAATTGACTTGGTATTGAGCCACTCATTTCACTAAAACTGATGTCTAGACCCCTAAGAGATGTCAAGTTCCAATGATCATTAGGAAATGGACCTAGAAAACCACAGTCTGATAAATCAAGAGAAACAAGGTTATTTAAATTGAATATCCATCTAGGAATAACAGAGTTGACGTCACTATTCCCGAAAAGATCAAGTACTTGAAGTGAAGCACTGATGTTAAGATGACTTGGATGAGGAAATCTAATTAGAAGATTACAATCACCCAAATAAAGCTCATGTAGGGAAGGAAGTGTGCCAACCACCTCTTGCCAATTATGTGCCTTGCTCAGATTAACATATGTCAAGTCCAAATACTCTAGATTTGAAAGATTTGATAACCAATCAAGATTATCAACAAATAAATAACCCTGCACGTCACTTCTCAGACGTAAAGTGTGCAAACTTGAAAGATTTCCAAGTTGATGGGGAATGATTCCATGAAAACCAGAGGAGGATAGATGAAGATATTCCAAGTTTGTAAAAGATCCAATGAAACTAGGGATGTGTGACGATTCAAAATAATAAAAGAGGTAACTAAGATCGAGATGACGTAGTTGTTTCAATTCAAGCAAACAAGAACTAAGTTTACCTCCTTTAGAAGAATTAACTGCGAGATTAGGTACTGGACTGACTTCAATCACATGCCCAGTTACATTATCGCACACGACACCCTTCCATTTACTACAGCAATCTGTAGTATTAACCCAATTCGTTGGAATTTTTGACTCATTCATGAAGCACAACAACGCTTGCTTCTCCTCCTCCTTGCAAACCCCAACGCTGTAGCTTTCGCCAGAAATGCACAACTCCATAACTACAAAGCTGAAGAAGATGACCAGGAAGTGATCAATTCGATGTGGAGATGTCCTCATAACTCTCAATGTTCTAGCTACTTTGTGTTTAATTGGTTTACCTCGAGAATAATGGTGCGTAGGTATATATATTATATACACACATCGCATGCCAAGACTTTAGTTAACACCAGTCAGATTGCAGTAATTTCCTGGAATTGAAGCTTAATTGAAAACAACAAACATTGGTTGAAATGTATTAATCAGAACACTCCGTGTTTGACTCATCGAATTAATTATTAGCTTTGTCTTTGAATGCCAACAAATTAAAAGCTCCAAAGTCTATAAAGCTTAGCTCACAGGGTAAGATTTTCCTTGATAATATATATTATATAAGAATAAGGGTTAAATAGGTCACTGATCGAATTACACACGAAAATGTAATTAGGTCATTGAACTAAAAAAAAAATACAATTGAACCAAAAGTGACATTTTTACTTATTAGTTTGCTGACGTGGAGGTTACCATATTAAAAAAAAAAATTATTTTATTTTAAATAACAATATTTAAAAAAAAAAAAATTCTGCCGCCGGCTTGGACGAAGATGACTGTCCAGAAACTACTCGAGTGTCGCCAATTGCTCAAAGTGAACTAGAAATTTGTCGAAATGCTCTAAATTTGTCAAAAATTCCTTCATTATCTCCGACTAGGCAAAATTGGCTGCTGAAGACGCTCACTTGAAGCTTCGTGGATGCCGTGCAGAATCGACAACAAAATTAAACAAATCAACATCAGAATCATTGTGCAGTGTGCAGTGTTTTCCCCTAAGCTCAATTGATAACTACAAAACATTGGTTGAAAATCTTGAAATGTATTAATCAGTACACGCCGTGTTTGACTCGTCGAATTAGTTATATTTGTCTTTGAATGCCAACAAATAAAAAGCTCCAAAGTCATTTGTTCAAAAGTCTATAAAGCGCGCGTAACATGTGGGTCGATCATGTAACGCCAGTTAGGGTGCAATATTAGCTTAAACCATCACTACTAGAAAATTGTACCTTTACTGATGCCCTGATGGATAAACAAGAATTTGGATCTCGTATAAGGCAATCGTTATGCGGTGAGCACATGTTGTGCACAAATCTATATCCATAATTTCTGTCCTGTAGATCTATAATTTCTATTTTCGGTGAGCTAAAATTTATACGTTAGATTTCAGTTATTGAACCATAATTTCTATACTGTAGATCCATAATTTCTAGATCCATCATCTTGCAAATGACACATTTGCTAGAGTAAGTTTAGCCTTATGAGCAATAGTTATGCATGGTTCCGGGTAAGGTGGACCCGGGTCAAGATATACAATTTATATAGTGAATGTTCACAATTTACATTCAATATGTAAAATGTGAACATTTAATATATAAAATTGTGAACATTCAATATGTAAATTGTAAACATTGAATATAAAAATTGTGAATATTCAGTATGTAAATTGTGAACATTCGGTATATGAATTGTGAACATTCAGTATATAAAATTTTTGAACATTTAGTATGTAAATTGTGAACATTCAGTATATAAATTGTGTATTTTTGAACTCGGGTCCTCTTTGCAAGGTGGACTTGGGTCCACAGAATAATTTTCCATTTATGAGGCGGTAGGTGGTAACATACCCGACCCGCAATTGTTATACCATGGACCAGGGTCCACCTTGCAAAGTCTGTTCTTAAATTATGTATTTTTAATATTGAAATTGTGAACATCTAGAATATAAATTGTGTTTCTAAGTTTTGAGAATTTATGAATACAATATATGATCATCACAAATTATGAATTTTTTAAAAATAAATTATGAACATTTAATATGTAAATTGTGTATTTTTGAATCCAAGTCCACCTTATAAGGTAAACCCGAATTCCCAATATAATTTGTCCCTCCCCTTCTCTTATTGTGCCCTTGCCTTATTTCTTTGATTTTGTATTTATCCTGAAGATTAAAGAAGATAATTTTTTACTAAATTTCTTTCCTCCATTTTATTAAGTCTATTAGTCAAATTGTAACTCATGATGATTTTATTTGACTTCAAAGTCTTCAAATGCCAATAAAAGCTCGCTTCAAAGTCTATAAAACGTGTGGCTCTCCGCCCAAAGATTTGATGCCCATAATCTCATAATCAGTGATTCGGTGGGTAAAGTGGATTTGCATTATTGGTGATTGGTGATTTTTAAATGCACCAAACGTCAAGCGGCGGTGATATTTACTCAAACTGTATTTAACTGCCCAAGACTTTCACCTTTGAGACAAAAGTTGAAATATTTACTTTGACCATGTTTGGTAATAACTTATCACTTAATTTTAACTTAGGGAAAATAACACTTTTTTCCCCTAAGTTATATACTTATAGCACTTTTTCTCCCTCAATTATTTATGTAAGCACATTAGCCCCCTCAATTATTTTAAAAGTGGTGATTTTTCCCCCTAATATATTAAATTGACATTTTTACCCTTAAAGTAAACATTTTATTTATTTTACTTCTCCAACAAATTATTGGGTATATGTAGCGATTACCACGGTTCGGTTCGTACTGAACCAGACACTATAGCAATCGAATTAAAAGTTTTCAGTTATGATTCAGATTTAGAATCCAATATTTGGATTTCAATTTATTAAATTTAAGAATAAAAAAAACTGGATCATGAACCGTGAACCGGTGATTCCGGATCCAGTTCGCGATTTTGAACCGTCTTTATTTTAAAATTTTATTTTTTAGTTCGGAACATGAACCGGCCATTCTGATCCGCGATTTTAATAAACTCTAAATATCGCGTTTTGATTATAAATTGTAATTGAAATATTTTGGTTTGGTTGCTATAGTATCTGTTTGGTTTGGAGAATAAAAATAAATGAAATATTTACTTTAAATATTTATTTTAAGGGTAAATATGTCCATTTAACATTTCAGGGGGAAAAAGAGCCACTTAAATAATTCTGGGGGGAAAAGTGCTATAAGTATATAACTTAGGGGGAAAGAGTGTCATTTTCCCTTTAACTTATTTAATCATTATTACTTGTTTAACTTAATTAAACAATTAATATAAGTGTTTGATTAATTAATTTTTTGTAATAACTTATTGTTCTAAAATGTTAAAATTTAAAGAGCTACTCAAAACTAGGGGTAACCACGGTTCGGTTCCGATTCCGTGGATGGCGAGACCGGAACCGAAACCTTTTAGTAAGGTTCCGGTTCCGGTTCAGAACCGGCGGTTCCAACCGGAACCGCTGGTTCTAACCGGAATTATTAAAAAAAAATTAAAAAACACTATAATATTTATTTTTTTTTGGTTCCGGTTAGGAACTGGAACCGGAACCGTACGAACGGTTCGGTTCCAGTTCCGGTTCAACAGTGCACGGTTCGGTCCGAACCGAACCGTGGTCACCCCTACTCAAAACAGCCTTTTCAACTTTTTCAAAAAGATTTTTTAAAAAAATTCATTTTGCATGTAATCTGCTATCAGCTATTAGCTAACAGATAATTTATCAAACATATTTCTACAATCAGCTAATTCTATCAAGTATCAACTAGTCAAACTTAGTAACTCAATGAGTTTTTACCCATTTTGGTCCCTTGACTATGGCTCATTCTCAATTTTGCATTCCGACTTTTAATTGCACCTAATGTGGTCCCTTGACTTTAAAAAATTACCTCAATTTGGTCATCCGTTACCTTTTCCATCAATTAGGCGTTAAGTTGGGGGGTATTTTGGTACATTCATCTGTTGTGTGCCTAATATACATGCCGGTCGTCTTTTTCAAACGTCCGGGTGTGTTCAGAGCAAACGCTGGCGAGTACGCTCAAAACGTGGGTGACGGCGGCAACGGCGGAGCACAGTTCAGTCCACACATGGGTGGCGGCGGCGGCCATTTCGGTCCAATGGTTGGCGGAGGCGGTCACCACTTCCCGGTATGGATGCAGAGAGCCGACCAGAGATTATTAAAGTCAAAGCAGGTCCTTCTGGTCCTCCTCCCTACTTTGACTTTAATAATCTCTGGTCGGCTCTCTGCATCCATACCGGGAAGTGGTGACCGCCTCCGCCAACCATTGGACCGAAATGGCCGCCGCCGCCACCCATGTGTGGACTGAACTGTGCTCCGCCGTTGCCGCCGTCACCCACGTTTTGAGCGTACTCGCCAGCGTTTGCTCTGAACACACCCGGACGTTTGAAAAAGACGACCGGCATGTATATTAGGCACACAACAGATGAATGTACCAAAATACCCCCCAACTTAACGCCTAATTGATGGAAAAGGTAACGGAGGACCAAATTGAGGTAATTTTTTAAAGTCAAGGGACCACATTGGGTGCAATTAAAAGTCGGAATGCAAAATTGAGAATGAGCCATAGTCAAGGGACCAAAATGGGTAAAAACTCGTAACTCAATCAACTAACAACTATTTACTAAATCTCAATTTATGACGCACTGTTTTTTAAATTAACACTTTAGCATTTTGAACACATTTTCTTCCAAAAGACTTTTAAGAAGGATTTATAAAATAATTTAGCATTTTTCCAAATTTGAAATTTTAAAAATACATTTCCTTAAAAAGGATCTATGGTAATAACAAATAATATTTATACATTAAAAAAAAAAAAAGCATTTACAGATACATACTTAAATATTGTTTACATTTATGCATTCTTTTGTATCTCATTTCCACTCATAATCCTTGATTCTATTGGTAAATGTTGATTTTTAGATTATTAAAAGTTTATTTTTAATAAATTTTATTAAATGTTTTAATAATAAAGCTTTTAGATTATTAATGGTTAAAAAAAATTATTTTTAATATATTAAATGTTTATTTTTAAGTAATATACAAAATAAAATAAAAAAAACTTTCAATACACTAAAAATGGACCTTAAAAAAGAGTACAACTAAACGCATTCGATCTCATATCCTTCTCCTCCCGGCATCAACTTGTTCTGTCTATTCGGTACTCACAGCGGCATCGCCGACACCGAGCGGGTTCTAACGGCCGAACTGAAGGATTGATGAAATAGTCTAAAGTATAGAGAGGATAGCTAGGGCGGAGGGATTGATTGCAAAACTCTATTAGGTAGAGCAAAGTGCTGATAACGTGTTAAATAAAGAAAACGCAAGTAAGGAGAAGAAGGAAGACACAAAGAATAGAGAGTGAAGGCAGATCTTCTCATTCATCCTTAGCCATTCTTATGGCAAGATATATATATATATATATATATATATATATATATATATATATATATATATATATATATATATAAAAAGGTAAGAGTAAATATGTACTAAATAGAAATAAGTACATCAGTTACAACTGTTACAACATGGATAATAATGTCCACAATAATATTTATAACAATTTTGTAATTTTTAAATAATTGCGTTCAAACAAAAAATAATGATCATGATTTAGATTGGATTATTTATGGGAAATTATAATTGTTATAAAAAATAAAAATGTTTGATAGTAACCTTTCAAATTTAAAGGTTTAATATAATTGATAAGTATATGATGTATTGTTACAAAATACAAAAATAAGATTTGGGTATTTTCATCAAGTTTTAAAGGTTTGTATATAATTGTAAAAATGCATAAATGTTTAATTTGTGTTTCTTTCATTAGCTTGTGTTAAAACCTTTAATAATAATAAATTCTTTAATACATAATGAAAAATATTTTATATATACCAACTAGCACCTTTTTGTTAATATAAAAGTGGTTAAACAATATAAATATATGTGAGAGAATAAAGTGCATAAAGTATTATTGACACAGAACAATTGTGGTTTGATAATGATGTAACTCCATTATCCTCATTTCATTAGGAGAAAATTTATTTGTATCTTTTATCTACCACATAAAAATATAAGGGAATCCAAACTTCTGCTTTAATCACTAAACTAGCACAATGTTTGTTCGATTTTCACAACATCTCATGAGTTTGCTACTCTCGTTCTCTTTTTGCAATAATGTCTAGAGATTTATAATGTTTAATGAACCCAAGTTGATATATGCTCCAACTAGAAAGACTCTTGAATGTATCTGATAAGCATGAAGCTTCTGGAGTCTTTGGAATGACTGGATCTTTATTTCGAAGAACACGCTAAGTGAGCCTTAATTGATGCTAGCTAGAAAGATTTATTGTTGACTGAAACCTCTGCTGCTTGTAGAAGTAGTTTAATTGTATATAATACTTCGTTGCTACAAAGTATTGCTGCATAGAAAGCTTTGATGTTGATGAAGCTAAGGTTTAATTCACAGTCCAAAAAGGCTTTAATTAGCTGGAAAAGATACATTTTCTAGAAACAGAAAATTTTACAAAATAAGTCAATATTAATAGCATTACATTCCAAGTGATCTCAGTACACATTCACTTATTATTTATACTAATATAATTAAGAGCATAAGAAGCATTAAGCCCACAAAGCACGTGCCCATGCTAAAAAGGAGTTGAACTTGTTATCTAAAAATTGAAAATATGCAATCCTCCAAGATCTTACAAGAAACAAAGACCCACAGGTTACCCAAAAACCCACTGCAAATCCTATAGCCATGCTGATGTAAAACCAATCCACTTCAGAATCATCATCTTCATCTCCTTTATTTTCATGTTTTGGAATTCCACTACAATTTTGTGAGAGTGGAAGGCCGCAGAGATGGTTGCCAATGTAACATGAAGCATTAAAACCTTGAAGTTGAGTACCTGAAGGTATCCTCCCAGATAGGTTGTTATATGACAAGTCCAGAACTTCAAGAGTGGATATACTTGATAAACTCGAAGGAATTTTACCTGAAATTTGATTTCTAGAAAGATCAAAAGATTCCAATAACTTCAAGTTTCCTATTTCCATAGGGATATTTCCAACTAAGCTGTTTCTGGATAGATTCAAAGATCTCAATCTCACAAGATTGATCAATTCAATTGGAATTTTTCCCGAAAAGTTGTTACAGGAGAGATCTATGCTTGCAAGCATGACTAAAATGGTGACACCATAGATGTACTCATTCCCTTTTGTTACCACTAAAGCACTTTCTTCTAGAAAACCCCCTAAATCTGAATATTCCATCTCATAGTCATTATCTTCAATCTCTCTTGTCTCATGGATCATTGCAGTGATATTATCAAGGCACCCAGGTAATTCACCGGAAAAATTATTATTAGCCAGATCAAGAATTTTAAGAAATGTGAGATGACAAAACTCTGGTAACAATTCACCATTAAACTTATTCACTCGAAGCCTTAGGACAATCAAATTTGAAAGTCCTGTACCCAACCATCTTGGAATCTTCCCTGTGAAACCATTTTCACCCAAATCTAGTTTCAATAGATGGGTACAGTTTTGTAGTGAAGTAGGTATAGGGCCAGAAAGCATGTTCTTATGCAAGTCCAAAGATTTCAACCTACTCAAAAGCCCAATGGAATTTGGGATGCTTCCAATCAGTTTGTTTTCATTCATATTTATGAAATATAAGTGTGGCCAATGCATCCAACAAGTGGGAATTTTTCCGGATAAATCATTTCCTCCCAAATGAAGTATTCTGAGCTTGTATGGCACATTTTGTGCATGACATAAAAATTGTGAGACATCTCCTGAGAATGAATTGTTTGACAAGTCTAACTCAGTTATGTTGATAGCAATACGAGGTAAAGGACCATAAAATTGGTTAGAGTCCAAATACACTAGTAGCCATGGACACCCATTGAGTTGTTGAATTGGGATATCTTCAATTTTACCTCGCAATTGGTTGTGTGAAAGATCAATAGTCTCAATATTAGAAGATAAGTTCCAGAACCAAGTTGGAACCTCACTCATTATTCCAGTATTAGATATGTCCACTTCCTCAATACTATGTTGAGATTTTAGCCAAGCAGGAAATTGAGAACCCAAATTCCAACCACTTAATGCAATTTGGCTAAGTTGGAAGGGAGGCATCCAGTTTGGACTAACATTCAAGGTTAATCTATTTCCAGATGCTCTTAAATATGTTAACATGTTGAGATTAACAAAGTGATTTTCTGTCACCATTCCTTCCAACATGTTACTGGAAATGGTCAACCATGTCAATGAAACCAAAGATCCTAAACTCTCAGGAAGGGATCCATAGAACTTGTTTTCTGAAAGATCAAGCTGTACTAGCTTGTTGAGTTTCCCAATTTGTGTTGGTACCTTTCCAGTAAGATTATTTCCAGGGAGTTCAAGTCCAGACAAAGAAGTCAAGTTGGAAATGGAGTTTGAAATGTTGCCTTGCAATTGATTGTATCCAAGAGAAAGTGATTCTAGATTGGTGCAATCATAAATCCAATTTGGAATGTGGGAATTCAAGTAGTTATTTGAAGCATCCAAGGTTTGAAGGGAAGTCAAGTTCCAAGGACTACTAGGAAATTGACCATGAAATTTGTTGTTATTTAAATTCAGAGATGTCAAGTAACTAAGGCTAAAGAATTGACTAGGTAATGAACCACTAATGTTATTTTTGGAGATGTGAAAGACACTAAGAGATGTGAAGTTCCAAAGACCAGTAGGCAAATGACCTTGAAATTGATTATAACTCAATTCTAGAGTTACCAAATATTTAAGATCAAATAACTGACTGGGTAATGAACCACTCAATTCATTAGTGGAGAGGTCAAGAAAACTCAAGGATGTCAAGTTCCAAAGGCCATTAGGGATTGGACCTTGAAAACCACCAGTGGCTAAATCAAGAAAATGAAGAGAGTTGAGATTGAATATCCATCTAGGAATAACAGAGTGGAATTCATTCCCGGAAAGATCAAGGACTACAAGTGAAGAACTGTTATGGTCGAGGGGATGATAAGATGATTTAGGAAGACCACATTCAGATAAATGAAGCTCACGGAGGGAAGGAAATATATTTATCACCTCTAGCCAATTATGAACCATGCTGAGATTAACAGAACTCAAATCCAATAGCTGTAAATTTGAAAGACTAAATAACCAGTCAAGGCTGTCAACTTTGAGACCCGCATTTGACAAACGTAAAGTTTGCAAACTCGAAAGGTTTCCAAGTTGATGGGGAATGGTTCCTTGAAATCCCAAGTTGGATAGATCAAGATATTGTAAATTGGCAAACAATCCAATGAAACTAGGGATATGAGACCCAGTAAAACCTCCATAGGAACCACTAAGATCAAGATGACGTAATTGTTTCAATTCAAGCAAACAAGAACTAAGTTTACCTTTAGGAGGATAATCAACGAACTCAACATATTCTGACAAACGGAGTTCAATGACATGACCAGTCATATTGTCGCACACGACTCCTTCCCAATCAGTACAACAATCAGTTCCATAAACCCAATCCGTTGAAACTTTTGCCTCCTCCTTGAAGCACAACAACGCCTGCTTCTCTGCTTCCCTGCAAGCTCCAGTGTTGTTGCTTCCGCTACAAATGCACAGCTCCATAACTACAAAGGTGAGGAAGATGATCTGCAAGTGATCAATTCGACGTGGAGGTGATGCCCCCATTATGCGAAAACTTTTTTCTTTAAAATTAAAATGGAAAGATACAACAATAATCTGAATGTTTTGCTAGTACGCTTGATTGGTTTACCTCAATAATAATGGTATACATATATATAGGCATGCTGACATGATATGTCAAGACTTTAGTTAACGCCAGTCAAGTAACGTTAGTTGCAAGACTGGAAACTACAAACTTTGGTTGAAATGTTCAAAGTCTTTAAAACCAACAAAAGATCCCAACTCATTTGCTCAATGTCTATCACTACCACATAAAATAAAATAAATAAATAAATAAAACCTATATACCAGGACTATGTGGTCCAATGGTACCTGGATTGGACTTCCATTTGGAAGGTTGTGAGTTCGAGCCTCAGTTGAGGTGTTATTAGCTCTTTGTATTTCAGTAGGTTGAGACGGCCCATATACGAGGTGTTATTAGCTCTTTGTATTTCAGTAGGTTGAGACGGCCCATATACGGCGCTGTTTCTTTACTTGCCGTTAGAGTTAATGGAGACCGCGGTGCATAATCGATTATGCACTGCGGCCCATATACGGCGCTGTTTCTTTACTTGCCGTTAGAGTTATTAGCTCTTTGTATTTCAGTAGGTTGAGACGGCCCATATACGGCGCTGTTTCTTTACTTGCCGTTAGAGTTAATGGAGACCGCGGTGCATAATCGATTATGCACTGCGGCCCATATACGGCGCTGTTTCTTTACTTGCCGTTAGAGTTAACGGAGTCCGTTTGTTTGGTGTATTAAACACACTGCAGTTATATCAAAATGATACTGTAGTTATAGTGAAATGAAACTGCAGTGTATATAAACTGAAACTGAATAACATTTCACATATTTGAGTGTATATTGTACAATGAAGCTGTAATTATATCAAAATGATCATGTAGTTGTGTTTTAATAAAACTATAATGTATATAAAATAAAATTAAATAACATTTTCACATATTTGAGTCTATATATATCGAGTGAAACTATAGTTATATCGAAATGAAACTGTAGTTATGTTCAACTGAAACTGCAGTGCATACAAAATGACACTGAATAACAGAGTTACTTTTTTAAAAAGGATGCGAAACGGCGGAAATAAACACTGTTAATTTTCATTTAAAAAAAAAGACGCGCGGTGCATAATCGATTATGCACCGCGATGCATAATATAATTTGCCGATACTACATTAGTTGCTAAATTAACGACAGAATAGTGACAACTCAGCCATGGATTTGAATTTCTGTGTTAAATAGACATTTAGTGAGGGATTTACAATGAATATTGTGACAAAATAAATACGTAGCATTTAATTGTTACAGTTTAGCGACGGCTTTGTGAATCTGTCACTAAAGATAGCGACGGATTAGTGTTTCTATCGCTATTTTATTCACGGCCAAAAGTATTTTTATTTAGCAACAAATTCATAATTCGTGGCTATTTTTAAAGTTTAACCATTCTAATCCGAAATTCCTAACTTAGTCCCGTCTCCCTTCCCTTAATTCTTTGTCAACCAAATCGCCTTGCCAAATCAAATCACCGCCACCTCCCATGTTCTTTTCTTAATTGAAGTTGTATATAATGTTTTTTTTTTTTAATAAGTTAATCGATTTACTCATAGTGAATCGTGTATGTGAATGGCTAAGTTGGCCAAGCACGGAAAATTTATATGATTCCAGTGTACTGGAAAATATATTTCCAGGAAAATGTATATGTTGTTCCCTGGAAAAGAACAAGAATGTGCTTATGTGCCGTTTGATTTACTTGGCTACGCTGTTGTCAAAGTCAAGTTTGTTTACATTCGTTTCCACATTGTGGATTAAATTCTCTATGGACTTTGGTGCACCCCATTTTGGTTTAGGAAGATTAAGGTAAAGGATAGAGGTCCAATATAGATTTCATCACTAAGCTAATAATGATAATGCAACCTTAGCTCTATGGGCAATTTATATCCTACACCACGACGCGCGTTGCACTATGCGCCTAGATGCAAAACGACGTCGTTTTAATTTTTTTTTTTTTTTTTTGAAATTTCCCGCCCCAGTGAATGGCAGTAATTTTTTCTTTAAAAAAAATCCGCTATTCAAGAATGTACATAATGTTATACTAGAATACACATAATTGTATACATGAATGTACATAATTATATAACAAAATATACATACTCTTTTTAAAAGATAATACACATAATCTAACATAATACATAATAAATATAAACTTTTAACATAATACACATCAACTATTAACATAATACACACAAATTTTCTGATTCGAATGTACATAATTGTATAAAAAGAATGTACATAATTGTATAAAAAATGTACATAACTGTATGAACCAATACACATAACTGTGTGAACAAATACACATAATCCCAACAACTTCCTACCGCACCTCCCAAAACGATCCCAAAACAACGTCGTTTTGGGAGGCGCACGGCGCACAGTGCTATGTGCGTCGTGGTGTAGGGTATAACGATTGAGCTCTATGCTATTAGGCTTTTGTTTGGTCCGCCGGGAGTGGGCGACTTTGTCAATGATGGAGACAGGCAGAATGTGCAACTGACTTCCATATTCATTCAATCCAAAATTATAAGTGGAGAAAATTTCAATTTTGGTCTACTGACTATTACACTTGTGTTAATTGCAACACTTGACTTTCAAAAATGTTAATTTAGTACCTTGACTATGCAATTTCTATTAATTTTGGTCACGCCGGCCAAATCTCGCCGAAAAAATTTAATAGGTCAACTAATGGGGGTATTTTAGTCATTTTACTCATTTTTTTCTTTTTTCTCCCCCTGAGCTTCTCCATTTCCGGTGAGCTTCTTCTTCATTTCCGGTGAGCTTCTCCATCTCCGGCGACCAATGGTAGATCTTCATAATGTGGCAAAGTTTAAATTTGAGCTTCCAACGCCCACTTCTGTTTTAGGGTTACCCATTGGACAACACATACATGAGTTGCAGGTTTGGTTGGCTAATACAGTTTGATGAAATTAAGGGACTCTATTGCCATTGAATTTATTGTTTCCTGGCTTCCTGCTGCTGTATTAAAACAGGGGTAAAAATAGTCAAGGTGAAGATGTTATCAAGCCGTACACTCCGACCACTTTGGACTCTAATGTTGGATATTTTGAATTAGTTATAAAGGTATTGGAACATGATCTATTTTGTTTTGATTAGCTACACTTGTGATAGCAGTGAAGTATTCGGATAGAACAAATTGCACTTTTGGTCCTGTGAGTATTAGGGTACTGACAATTTGAGTACGTGACTTTCAAAACTCCCAATTTAGACCTTTAACTATGCAAAAATTGGCAGATTTGGTCCTCCGGGCCAAATTGCCGGCCAATTTTGGCCGGAAAAACATAAATTGGTTCGAATTTATTTGTGTTGAGGGCAAAATCGTCATTTCACGATTGGCTCCCTAGCACGACGATGATCTTGATTATCTTCTCCGGCGGGGAGGAGGTTGAGATCCAAATTCAAACCTTTCCCATTATTTTCTTCCTTTTGGAGTACCCTTTTCTCGAAGCTGGAAGAGCTCGGGCTCAACTGCGAGGCGGCGGTGGCGGCGGTGGAGTTACGGTGGCGTCTCATGTGGCCGCCCAACGCCTGGCCGGACGAGAATTCGGCGCCGCAGTAGGAGCACTCGTGAGTCCTGGGGGAGGACTTGGCGGAATCGTAGAAATGGAGGGAAGAGAAAGGGGGAGAGATTTTAGGGGTCTTGTTGAACGGATAAGGATTAATGTCTTCTTCATCGTACAAGGACAGCGGCCTCTTCACGGCGGCGGCTTCCACCGTCGTCAACGGTTTCTTGCTGCAGAATTTGCTCCCGCAGCCGCTCTCCTCCTCCTTGTACAGCGGCGACTTGGGGATGGCAGGAGGATGACGCGAGACTCCTCCGCCTTGGGAGAGGAGCATAAGGCAGCGAGCCATGTCCTCGTCCTCCGGCGTAGGCGCGGCGGGAATTGGTTCAGAGGTGGCGGAAGAATGCGGTGGTGTCGTGTCCGTGATCATGGTGAAAGAGAAGGGAGTGAAATGACGGTTTTGCCCTCAACACAAATAAATTCGAACCAATTTATGTTTTTCCGGCCAAAATTGGCCGGCAATTTGGCCCGGAGGACCAAATCTGCCAATTTTTGCATAGTTAAAGGTCTAAATTGGGAGTTTTGAAAGTCACGTACTCAAATTGTCAGTACCCTAATACTCACAGAACCAAAAGTGCAATTTGTTCTATTCGGATATCTTTGTCTTTATTGGTTGGTTTGATGCTATGCAATATGTTTAACTAGTAATTCACCCGCGCGATGCACGGGGAAAAATTATGTTATTATAAATATAAATAAAAAATAAAAAAAAACTAAAATATTTTAAATTATTTAATATAATAATATTTTTGAGCTTCCATTGGTCAAGTATTTATTATTTTTATAGAATACAAAATTACAATTACAATTAAAATTAAAATTAAAATTAAAATTTTGTATGATTAATATAATCTCTAATTATGTGCATATTCAAATAAACTTATAGAGAAAATTTACATAATTACATTGATTTATTCTTAATTGTATTTCATCTATATTATAATTTTCACAATACGAATAATAACTAAGATAATTACATTTGGAAAGCAAATTTTAAATTTTGTATGTGTAAATTTAAACTCTAATTGAACACATTTTTTATATGATTATATAATATATAGCTATTTTATTTTTCAAAAGTATTTTTTTATATGATTATATAATATCTAGCTATTTTATTTTTTAAATGTTGTGTTTTTTTTTTATAATAAAAGATGTTGTGGCATTAATTGTAACATTAATTATTTCCCAAACCATATAGCTTTATTATATAAAGGATTAGATGTATCCTCAAGGAAGGATGTCTCATCATTTCCGAGAGATGCGTGTGGGTGATTATTTGGCAGAAGCGGCTGGTTATGAAGATCCACCATTGGTCGCCGGAAATGGAGAAGCTCACCGGAAATGAAGAAGAAGCTCACCGGAAATGGAGAAGCTCAGGGGAGAAGAAAGAAAAAATGAGTAAAATGATTAAAATACCCCCATTACTTGACTTATTAAATTTTTCCGGTGAAATTTGGCCGGCAATTTGGCCGACGTGACCAAAATTGATAGAAATTGCATAGTCAAGGTACTAAATTAACATTTTTGAAAGTCAAGTGTTGCAATTAACACAAGTGCAATAGTCAGTAGATCAAAATTGAAATTTTCTCATTATAAGTGGATGAAAGTGGAAGTAAATAAAATTGCAGCTTTTGTTTGTTATAACCCAACCGATCCCAACCCCAATCATGTTCATGGGCAAATTATGCCGTGAAAACGTGTTCACCATGTGCATGGTGAACACAGGGGTAGATCCATAGTTTCTATACTGTAAATTTATAATTTTAATTTTTTTAAACGTAGATTCATTATTTTATTTTTCATTTTCTGTTACAGATATTATGAATCTACAGTATAGAAATTATAAATCTGCAGTATAGATATTATGAATTTACAGTATAGAAATTATGAATTTACAGTATAGAAATTATGAATCTACAATATAGATGTTATGAATCTACAATATAGAAATTATGAATCTATAGCTTAGAAATTATGGATCTATCCCGTTAACAACAAATGAAAAACAAAATTATGAATATACGTTTTCAAAAAAAAAAATTATGAATCTACAGCATAGAAATTATGGATCTACCCATGTGTTCACCATGCGCATGGTGAACACGTTTCCACAGCATAACTATCCATGTTCATGATGCCCCCTCTCTCCAAGGCAAATTTTACTATGCGCCATGGTGCACACATCTGCGTGGATCATGGTCCAAAACGGTGTCGTTTTTTTTTTTTTTTTTTTTTTTTTTTTTTTTTTTTTTTTTTTTTTTAAATTAAAAGAAACGGCACATGTTCCATGTAATTAGTTCTGTTTGTATAACATATTCAGTTTCATTTTATTTACATTGTAGTTTCATTTCAGCTCAACTAAAGTTTCATTTTGTTTCTACCGCAACTTTCTTTTCTCTCTTAACTACAAAGTCACTAAAAAAACAGTGAACTCGGGTAGTATCCCCTACTGACTCTATAACTATTGCATCGCACAAATAACAAAAACCGTGCCTGGAAATAAAATATATAAACAATATTACAAAATTATTGTTTTAAACAAAGCAATAATACGAAAAAAAAAAACATATAATACAAAATTTTAAAAATGAAACAATAATTAAAAACAAAACAATAATTAAAAACTACGAAAGATCAATTATAGTCAAAAAATAATATGAAAAAAATACTTTTCTAAAAAAATTGAACTTGTTTGCATCGGCTTAGTCGAAGCAACTGCAGCTGGTCTGGAGTGGCATCAACCCGGACAAATCCATAATAAAGAATGTAAATGAAAAAATAATAACTTTTTTCACAGAGATAAAAATAGTTAGAAGAGATATTGTACCTTTAATGCTTTGAAATATGCATATTAGTTTGAGTGACTATTGAACTACAGTGATTAAATTGATAAATGGGTGATGAGGGAGTTATTGCAAGGGAAAATAGGGATGCAAGGTAAAATGAAGACTCATAATTTTTAGTCTATCAACTCATTGTATTTATAGGTGAAAAATATGATAATTATAAATTTGTAAGATTTTTCAAAAGGAAAGTGTATTTAATATTCCTAATCAAGTCATTATATTAATATTAATATTCCTAATTAATTTTATTCCTAATTAATTCATAACATTGATATTACTAAATTGTCCTTAAATTTGAGCGGGAAAATGAAATAGGAGGATTTTGTTTATATATATATATATATATATATATATATATATATATATATATATATATATATATATATATATATATTGTTGGTCCTGAAAGGGTGGCGAGAAGTCTAGAGGGGGGTGAATAGACTTCTCTAACTTTTTGAACTTTCTTCGAAAACATACAAGGCAAATAACACTTTGGTAATTTCAACTCTAAGTAACAAGCATTAACAAGATAAGCAACTTAGAGTGTGCAGCGGAATAAGTAGCGGTAAAGTGTTATGCTTATAAGTGCGGTGCTCAAAGAGAGATTCTAAACATGCAACACGTTAGAAACACTTGATATGGTTCAAAGATGATGTACGTAAAGTTTGACTTGCATGCATACGTGGGAGCTATCAAACCTAGACAGATAAAGATATGCGATAAATCGTAATCGGGTTAGTTCGCAGTTAGAATAAGCATGCATGAAATATATGAGCAGTACGTAAATAGAGAGAGAGATTTATAGTGGTTCAGAGGTGGTGTAATCCTCCTAGTCCACTCTTCTCCTTTCACTTCAAGGAGGAAATTCACTATTCTTCGATCACCCAGATACAATAGTGAATAAGTGTCCACCGACACTTCTCCGAGTGCTTCGCACAAAGCTACACTCCTCCAAGGTTTTTCGCAAGCTCCTCTTGTTACTCCGCCTTCCCGAGTACTTCGCACCAAGCTGTACTCCTACACCACGAGAACTACGCACAAAGCTACGTCCTCCAAGGGTTTTCACAAGCTCCTATTGTTACTCTGCCCTTCACCACAAGTGCTACGCACAAAGCTACACTCCACCAGGGTTTTTCACTCTCTCTAGTTACTCCGCCCTCTTTCTACACTCAGTAGAGAATATTACAAAGAAATAAAATTTCTCTCTCACTCAGACTTGAATTTTATTCTATGAAGCTCTGTTTCCCCCTTTTTCGGCTAATAAAAAATATAGCTTGTATCTTTTGCTTGTATGTTTTAGCCGTTGTTCAAGTTGTTGAACTGTTCAATCTCTTTGGGGTTTTTCTTGCTTAACTGCTCTCTTCTCTTTTTACTACTCCTTGTCTTCAAGTCTACTTGGACAATTTATAGCTAGTAAAAGCTATTTGCCCGTTGATCAACTTTCGATCTTGATCGTCCATTTTGAATTGTAGTTGATCAAATAATATTGTCAACTTGATCTGAAATATTAGGTAGATGTCATTTCTCCTTTTGTCAGATGATTTGAATAATTTGCCCGTTGCCGTTTCTTGAATTTTGTAGCCTCCAGAATTTGAATAAATTCGGCGCGGCAATCTTTGACATTTCTGGTCCTTCATAAATACTCTGACATGTCAAGTTGATCAAATAATTTATCTGCTGATTCTTGCTTGAGTATAAAATAATTTCTCCGCGAATCAGCCTTCTTTGAGCGTCTCCGGTTCCACCGTAAAAATTTGATGTTCAGATGAAAATATATCAGTTATTTTCTCCTTCATGATCCTTGTAAAATAATATATTGGAACCTCTGTAAAAACTTCACAGTTGTTCATGGTGAGATGCTCTGTTTCGAATTTCTAGCTTGGTCCACCATACTTGGTGTGTTTCTCCATATGGTGCATGACTTTTGTGAGACTTGAGCATTTTACTTAGTCTCCATATTCTTAGCTAGTCTCCTTTAGCTAGTCTCCATCTTAGCTAGTCTCCTTTTTAGCTAGTCTCCATGTAGCTAGTCTCCTTTAGCTAGTCTCCATTCCAAGCTAGTCTCCATTAGCTAGTCTCCATTCCAAGCTAGTCTCTCATACGGTTTGGTATACTTTGAGCTAGTCTCTCATACGGTATACGGTCCAATGTACTTGACCTTGAGCTAGTCTCCCATACTGTCCAAGCTAGTCTCCCATACGGTTATACGGTCCAAGCTAGTCTCCCATACGGTCCAAGCTAGTCTCCCAACTTTGAGCTAGTCTCTCATACGGTATACGGTCCAATGTACTTGACCTTGAGCTAGTCTCCCATACTGTCCAAGCTAGTCTCCCATACGGTTATACGGTCCAAGCTAGTCTCCCATACGGTTAGAGCTAGTCTCTCATACGGTCCAAGCTAGTCTCCCAAGCTTAAAAATGCTTCACTTGAGATTCGAACTTAGGATCATTTGGCATAGCTCACACGCGTTCTTGGTGACTTATCCACATCATAATTGTGTTAAGCTATAATCCCGCTTAAC